AATTCCTCTAATTCGATAATTTTCAACTTTTAATTCTGTAATTTAGTAATTTTCAATTTTTAAATCCTGTAATTTAGTAATTTCTAATTTTAAATTCTGTAATCTAGCAATTTTTAATTTTCAATTCTGCAATTTTAGTCATTTCTAATTTTAAATTCTGTACTTTGATCATTGTTAGTTTTTAATACTGTAATTTAAAAATTCGTCAATTTATATGTCGAGGAAGATAAACATATAAAAAACTTTCATTTAAATGATACGGAAAATTTTATACAAACAGATGAGTAACATTTCTGTATGAATAATAAGGAAAAAGCTGCAGATCTAAGGATAACGTAGTCACATGCAAATCAATTTTTTATCAAAACTGTACTTTTCCTTCCTTAATTATAAAATTCCCTCCTTGACACTAGGAATTATAGATAATAGAGTAATTGGTAACTTTCCATAGAGAATGAAACGCGTGTAATTCCGTGAACCCGTTATAGTTCTGAGGACAATTTAATCAGTTATACTTCTTCCTAGACGTACTTGTTACAAGAATAACATTTATCTTTCATAACTATACCGTTTTGATGACACATATAGAAAATAGAAAGAATTAAATTATTTTCTTTTTCACTAATAATAATCCTCATGTTTCTAAATAAACTAACGTCAATTTTATTTATTTACCACTTTCTCTGTTAAAATTATACAACGCTAAATACTAAATACAAAATTATACGACTTTTTTCACCGAGTGTATCTACATATTAGAAGAGTAACGGTGATGTTGAAGAAGACAAACATTACAGTTTTATAATAGAACGTCAATTGGAAATAAGAAAACGCTATAAATAATCTGTCTGAATAATGACTTTAGATCCGTGTTGTTATACTTCGTTTTACAATTGAATGGGTCGCTTCGATTGTCCTTTCGTGCTCTTAGCATTGCAGAAATCGCTCCTCGTGACAAATTATCCGATATAAAGACGAGCAAAAAGAAGTTGGAAACGGTACAACGTGTGGGTATTTAAGAGCGCAGAATCGAGGATTATTGATTTAGAAATTTTCAAGCAACTGTAATTTATTTCACTGTTTTCTCTCTCTAGACGAGGAGAGACGAGGAAAACAGTTTCTTTGGCACGCTAGATTCTCAAGGTCGCGTTCATTCATGGTTTTCTTCCTCAGTGACGTAAATAATACTTTTGAAATAAAAATTGTAGCGTCTGTTTGGAAACTTTGCAACCTGATTCATTTGATCAAGAATCTCGATCACGTGCTTTCGCGGCATATCAAGATTTCTCGATCAATACGTAAGCATAGTTCGGAGTGATTTACAAATATGCAGAAATTTCTGATAACACCTGTTAAAAAAAAGTATATACAATACCTACTTAATAATGTCGAAACAAACAATAGTCTTACGCAGGTGCATTGTCATGTTTCGCCTGTTATCTCCTAACAGTACGTCATTTCGGAATGATACGCTTTTGATTGGACATTTATGTACATTGAAAGGATATCGAATGCACTGTTTTCGTAGAAAATTACAAATTGAATAAAATTGTTAAATATTACTAGACGGGTTATTAATGTTCAATGAAAATTGAATTTTTCAACTACGATATTTAATTAGATTTTGTAATTAAATTTGGTAAAGTTACTCAACCCTTTTTAAAACAAAACTTGCCAACGTTCTCAAGAGTTAAGTACCAATCGCTATTATTAGGTTGGCGTAAATAAAATGTTTTTTCAAATTTTTATACGCAACAGTCAAGAAGAAGGAATTTGCTCTGCCTATTGAATAGTAAACAAATTTATAATACAATTGCTTGAGCATTATTCTCCGAGATATCTGCCTAATATTTTAACGTAAGATTATACCAGGAAACTGCGATAAAAACTGCTGACAATATAAAGTTAACAGTTGAAGAAGGTTATGCAAATGTTAAAGCACTTCAACGTTGGCGTGCAAAACTCAAGATCGGTGACATTTCATTGAAAAATGAGCGAAGAGGAAGGCCAGATAGGGCTGTCGATGATAACGTTTTCAGAAAAATTATCGAAAACAATTCACGGTAAAGAATATGAAATTTTGCCACATCCTCCCCTATTCACTAGACTACCATTTCTTCAAACACCTTTTAGCAAATGAATTATTCTGAAATGAGGACACTGTAAAAGTAGCGTTCAAAATATTTTTTAATTGAAAAACTAACTATTTTTATATATTAATGTTAGATTTATGTTAGATATAAGGATTGCTATGTAGATACGTATTCTCTGAAGGTTCTCGGGTAAGTGCCTTGCCGTCTCTCATGGTCCTCTTACCAGAAAAAGTCGCATTTTCCCCACTCTGTGGCCACATCCTTCGAGAACACCCTTAACGCGTACCTTTGAGATCGGCGATCGAACTCTCTATCGCCGATTCGTAAACAAAGGATCCGCGACCCTCAGAAATCGCCGCGTCTCCTCTATAGAGAACTCGACGCTACATATAAATAATGAAACTGTGTATGGAAACGTGTATGGAATTATGCCAAGATTATTTCAATCAAATACATTATTTTCTTCAGAAAAGGTTCACTTGAAAAAACGACGTTTCATAAGCACCACCCTAATACTTTCTAAAGTTCCTAATTCGCGACGAATCGGTTACAAAATCTACTTACACCCACTCTCGAACTATCAACAAACAATCAAACGTCTAAAACGTCGCAAAAATTTCTCTCAAAGTGCGGATACGTTAGGTACGAGGGAAAATGAATCTGTGCGTGGCGGCCATCTTGTCGCTCATTTTGAAACTCGCCCGTGGCTAGAGATTCGTCCAGTTAATTCAAACGCAATTTCGTACGATTCCGTCACGATTCGGAACCTGGTCCAAATGATTTTCCCAACATTCGTAGTACGATAAAGGCTTATCGTTTCAGGAAAGATAAGATAGAATCAGTTTCTCCCTATTTCAACCGAACCACAGTTTTTCAACGAACGCACTATTCTCACCGTGATAGGTGACTCATGTAATTTCGCATATTTTCCGCTTCCCGTTTCATTAACATCGCGAAGATAACTGCGTATACACGTGTCACCAGTCAAGATTAGACAACTTTATGACCTCACCGTTATTTATTCCAGGCCTATTTCAATTCGCTCCGGGATCAGGGTTAATAACATCGTTGACACCTTGTCGTCGAAGTTACGCGTCTTAATCGGTTCTTTTTTTCTTTTTGTTTTCTCCCCTCCCCCCGTTCATTGTTCCGTCTTCTTTATTTGTGTATCGTTGCATCGCGACGGTGGCGTGTCTGTCCGTTCCTGGAATGCACGCAATATCATTTTACGCGTAATAAGCAGCTTTCGTTAACAGTATCGATAAACGTGTCATAACGAACGACGGCGTGCATACCTTGTCATTCGCAATGAAATATACGCATTGGAATTTATTAAGAAGGCTAAAGTGGCTTTCTGTTTCGGTGAGAAATTGGTGTCGCGATATGAAGACGCTTCTTTTTTTCGTTACACTTCACTCGATTTCTCGCTAATTCGTAACGAATTAAAGTTGATTGTGTAATTGGAGTGTTGACAATTTGTTGAGATATCGGTAACGAAATTTTTTATAAGTACTGTACCATTTTTAAGCTGCTTCAGGCATCCTCCGACGATAAAAATAAAGCGTCCGCTGAAATGCTATTAGCGACTGCATTATTAATCGAGTACAAAAATACAATTTTT